CTCCATTCCACTTTTAATCCAATTTTCAAACCCCATAGTGCAAGTGATGTTGATCTTTCTAATTGAGGTTATGGTCATAAGTAATCAACTTCCAGTTTTTGGATTACATCCAATTCTGGGATCTCTACTTTGTTCAAATTATACACTCTACTGTTTATCTTTTTAAGACAGAAAAACAGCATTTCAGAGGATCATTTCAAATTTCAAAGAGATAATCAAATATTGAGCTACTTGTAACATGCATTTTGTTCATGGTATGTCTGGATGCAAAAGGAATATATGTAACATTTGTAGATTTTTTTGGGTTACTGTATCACTTGGGTCATAGGATACCATAGGATTCTGGATAGATTTACATACTTTCCTCAATTAGGACAAATTTCCAAAAATAGAACTGGTAGCCAATAATTAACTAACACAAAATCTACCTTGGAAGGTCTCTTCACAGTCTTCCAATTTTCGCTTTTTCATATTGGACTAAAAAAGGAAGAGAGGAAATATTATATATGTACTCTTTCTTCCCTTAAGAGTAGCCTCAGGAAACAGATACTACAAAGCAGATATTTGCTTCAAAAATAAGAAATCTTTGTTCTCTCTCCAGTTTATCAGCAAGTATACTTAATATAATTATGTTGTTTTAATCAATCATTAAATGTTACAGATGACCAACCTTACCCCATCCAGTCCATCATGACTGTTTGTCAGCAGAATTGGGTCTGGAACAGGAAGGTTCATATCTGAGTGGATTTGTGTAAGATCATGAATGTTCAGAATGGGATCCTAGGGCAGAATATCCAAAAGAGTGAGATATTTATGCTCAGGAACACATCAAATGTTGCATTGAAAGCTAATAACTGGCAGACTATTATTTGATAATGCATTATTCTTGAAATAAAGGTATCATTCTTGAAATAAAGGAAATAAAACTCTTACTTTAAGGAAGCCATCAAGTTCTAAAAGCTTCTTTGGAAAAAAGTTTGCCACTAGATCCTCAGCCTGAAAGAGAAAAATCATCACCTATGATGCATGAATTATCAATACAACTGCTGATTCCACAAAAGGAAGGCTAAGACTAAGCTGTGGTGTGGATCAGTAGAAAACTCTAGATAAACTCCTTGAAAGCTGAGCTACTTCTAAAGCTCATAAAAAAAGTCCTACAATTTCCTGAGGTCAGTAAGCACTAAACTATAGAGAAAGTCATACAGTATTTGAGGGGCTGCCACAAAGATGAGGGCGTCAAATTATTCTACAAAGCACCAATGGACAGGACAAGAAACAATGGTTGGAAACTAATCAAAGAGAGAAACAACCTTGAATCAAGGAGAAATTTCCTAACAGTGAAGAAAATTAACCAGTGGAACAGCTTGCCTTCAAAAATCGTGGGCACTCCATCACTGAAGGTTTTTAGAAAGAGACTAGACAGTCACTTATCTGAATTACTATAGGTTCTCCTGCTTGAGTAGGGGGCTGGACTAGGAAGACCTCAAAGGGCCCTTCCAGCTCTGCCTCCACTCTACTGTTTGAAATTGCAAGCAGAAATCAGTCACTTACTTCACCTGTGATTCTCTCCCTGAAAGAGTCTACCTGCAAAAGAGAAAAGGTACAGCTTAGTACAGCATATCTGAATTAGGTGCAACATAATCACTCAAGCACTTTATCTTTGCTCATCTGCATAAATTACAATTCTCCTAAGATACAAACTCCTACCTGCAAATGATCTTTTTGAATCATTGTTACAGAATATAAGACATATCTAATAAAACAATTAGACACTAGAAAACAGACGCTTTATTAGATTTTTTACTATTTGTTTTATTATATTAAAATAATTTAATGATTTTCTATATATTAGGAGCCAGTATAACCCTCTTCTCAAAATGTCACTGTTTTTGGAACTACATCAGGAGCCTCTGTGGCGCAGTGATTAGAGTGCAGTACTGCAAGCTACTTCTGCAGCCAGCTGCCTACAATTTGGCAGTTCAAATCCCACCAGGCTCAAGGTTGACTCAGCCTTCCATCCTTCCGAGGTGGGTAAAATGAGTATCCAAATTGTTGGGGGCAATATGCTGACTCTGTAAACCACTCAGAGAGGGTTATAAAGCACTATAAAGTGGTATATAAGTTTATTGCTATATACATGTAAGTCCTCAACTTACAACGGAGACCTGAATTTCTGTTGCTAAGGCAGTTGTTAAATGAAGCATGCCTGATTTTACCTTTTTTGCCAATGTTAAGTGAATCACTGCAATTGTTAAGATAGTAACACGGATGTAAGGCAAATCTGGCATTTCAATTTAACTACTTAAGCAAATTACTGAAGTCATTAAATGAATTATATCATCATTAAGCAAATACCGCTTCCCTCCGTTTGCTTATCAGAAGCTGACTGGGAAAATCAAAAAATGGTAATAAGTGATCCTAGAATGCTGTAATCATCATAAATACGAGCCAGTTTGTCAAGCACCTATAGTATGATCATGTGACCATGAGACTATTGCAACAGTCATGTGAGCATTGGTCCTAAACTACTTTTATCAGTACTGTTGTAACTTCAATCAGTTGTTTAATGAATGAGTGTAAGTTGATTACATGTATCACTTTTGCTTCTTACCCAGTTGGTTCTGTACCATTGCTTTGTTATGTTTGCTTTTATCTTCCATTTTTACAAAAAAATTAATTGCAATGTACATACTTTTATACTATATGTATTCACTATTTCTATTAGGGGACAAAGAGAAAATATCTGCTGTGAACTCCGTGTAAGCATCAGGAAGCTCATCCAACCAGTAAACACTCAGCTCCATTAAAGGACTACAAAATTGTAAAAAGAAAAAAATATATCAAATTTTTATGCTGCCCATCTTCCCTCCAAGATGGATTTTAAAATCAGTCTGTAGAAAATAATATTTATATATTCACAAATCTGTAATTGTTATTCTTCAATGTTATTCTTTCAGGAAGAGAATAATTTTTTACCCTTCTCTTTATTTGTTCACATTACTGCTTGAGCTAATATGATAGTTTTCTCCAATATTTTAAAAAAACATTAGTTTCTACCTAAACCTATATTCAAGTTATTGTTCTTCCATGTTGAAAATATTTTTACTGATTTTTATCTTCTTGCACCTTGCCATGTTTATTAATCTAAGTAACATCACATTGACCTGTGTGGATTTATTTTTGTAGTGACATGTAAGAACTGAAACATACTCTTCTATCATGCCTTTATTTACCTTCATTTGATCTGAATTCTTTTCATTTTAACTTTTCCCAATTCAAAAGTCTATCTTTTCATTAAAATTACAATATATTCTTCTATCACATATTATTGTGTCTTATCCCTCAAAATTACTCAGAATGTATTATGTGTAAATCTTTTATATGTATCAGGATTTATCTTTGAAATATACACAACTATGACTATTGTAGAATCACATTTTTATTTTCTTTCAGTTATTCCATAATTACATTTTGTCCATAAACAGATATGCTTACTAGACATACTGAATGATATTACTCTTAAATGCAATTTAAGTTAATCCTATTTAATACTATAAGACATAGTGAAATACACATAATCCTGTTGATATCAAATGGAACTACCATTTTGCCCAGTAACTTAAAAAAGAACTTCATATGTTTTATCCAAATAAATAGTAAATTACCTCATGCCTTTGTAGAAGAACAGAACATTTGTTAAAATCAAAATTATTGCTATAAAGCCACACATCTTAGCTATTCCAAGAAGCATGCTGGTTGAATGATTAATAATCTTGAATTATGTTCCTAGATTATATAAATTGGTGTGCTTTTCAAGGTAAATAAATAATCCACTCAGGAAATGTGTGACACATACAATTTTCATGGAATTCAATAATCTCGTCAGATAAAAATATTATTTTCTAACGCAAACATCTTGTTTTCATTGCCATGGGAAGCAGTAAAAATTACTGCTTCGCCGGTTTTAAGGCCCATAATAAGAATTAACGGCAGCCTGCCGTGTTTATTTGGCTACAACCTGCAGAACTTAAAGGAATTTTCGGTTCATAAAGCAGACTGGCTCACAAATGAAAGGCCAGTAACGCCGTACCAGTAAAGCTCCCAACGGCAGATCACTTGATCCAAACACGTGGCGTTCAACGGATTTGTGGCTGGTCGCTGTACAAAATTTATCATACTTTGATCACGTTCTACTGGCAAAAATAGTCGCCGTGGCGGAAGCTTGTATTCCCCGTGACCTTCTCTAGCACTCTGCACATGCCTAAAGGCACGCCCGGGGCGGGCTTATTAGAATTTCCCCCTCCTCCCATACCTTGATCTTAACTTCTGGGTCCACCTTGAGCAGAGAGGCCATGGCGGGGCAGGGAAGCCGATTTCCCAAGCCAGATCTGTTTCCTTTTATCCCGCGCGCGCGACCACCTGAGAAAAACCACCGGCTCCGTTACCGCCGGAAGTGACAATATAACGCCCCGCCACCGCCCTTTCTTGGCCAATCACCGAACGCGATTTTAGCCAACGTGATTGTTCCTTGTGCTTTTGTCGGACAGGCTTTATCCGGTGCTGTGCACATGCGCTAAAGAAACAACTTCCGGTTGGTGTGGGTGGAGCTCGGTACTAATAAGTGAAATGATTGACGTGGAGCCAATCAGCGTAGAAATAGGAAGTTGAAGATGGTTCGTGTTCGAAGTGAATTTTTTCCGGCAACTTGCAGGTTATCTTCCACTGTGTAAAAATCCTAGGTATTGTTTCCTTCTGTATCCGGTTGTTCTTCAGTATCTTTTGCCCCTAAGAGATGACCTATCTTCCATGGTTCTCTTTTTTTTTATTATTGTACTGCCTTTAAACCGAAGTATTTTTGCGTTATTGGATCTGGGTTGCGTTACTATGGTCAGTAGATGGCAGCAAAGAGCCAATCAGATATTCTTAGGACCAACATTGTCGTGAAGCCAGTTCGTGGGCTTCCTCTCTACTATGAATATGGGGGTGGTCGTAACAGTAAAATGTTTCATGTGCGGTTTCCTTTCGTACAAGAAGGACATCGCCGACTTTGCATCTCTGCAAGTAGCTTTTCCAGTCCAGCACAAGCACCTCTCTGATGCCACGGGGAGCGAGAAGGCGGTCCCGTTTCTGCGCCTCCTACGGGCATGAGCAAAGAGTGCGATTTCTCCGGAAGAGAAAACTTTATGCGAAGCCGTTTTGACAGACGGCGGGGTTGCTTAGGAAAGCATTTTCAGACGAAGAGAAAGTCGATCGTGTGTTGTTGGGAGGGCAAGGTGGCCTGGTGGTTATTTTTTTACCGATCGATTTTGTTTGCTCCTGGGAAACTTTAAATACCATCGATTGGGTATCCCGCCTATAGTCAGGAAACCTGGTTATGGTCACTTAACAAGCACATTAGTTCGTTGTTGGGCGTGAGGTAGGTAAGAACGATGGAGACATTTAGATGGAATCAAGGTAGATTCCAACAAAGGTCATTGGAATGTACCCTTTTGTATTCCTAACCATAATTTGTCTACTAGCTTCAGCCTAAACTGGAACAGAAGGAAATTAAAGCTGTGTATAGGGAGTAAATGTCAGTAAACTGCAGTAGAACAGATTGTGCATTCGTAGTACCTCAAAGATAAACGTCTTTGATTTCATACCAAAATCATGTTAAGGATTGAACTGACACTGGTACCTGGCTAATTTTTGTTAGTACACTCTAGTTTGAACAGTTCCTGTTTCCCCAAAGATACTTCGTATCAGAACCTAGCTGATTTCCTTGGGAGTTACAGCTGAAATGGTGGTGATTAAACTATGCTATTATTTAGATTGATTCAATATGTGTCATCAAGATGGTGGTGACCCTTAGGCATAGTGCTAAGGTCTATGCATAGATATACATATAAATGTTCTCCATCCTCTCCATGAGGAAGTCTATGAAATAATAATGACAGAAACATTGATTCATGCTGCATGGGAGAAGGTACCTAGTAACCACTCCTGAATTTTTACAATAGAACTACACAAGGTAGAAAACACAAACTGGATATCCGATATAAAATATTAATTTATACCCACCTACAAAATATTAGAAACATTGTATTGACTATCTTTCTACCTTCACAGATATGGATGCATATAAGTCACCTGCTTGTACCATGCAGGTCAGCTTTGTTTGCCAGCGTTGTAGTCAGCCCCTTAAATTGGACACATCTTTCAATGTTCTTGACAAAGTCACCATCCAGGAATTGACAGGTAAAAAAATGTGCATAAAGCCAATGCAACCATAAATTCTGTATTGTTAATGCATACTGAATTTTCTCAATAGCTGAGAAAATTCAATGAAAACAGAAGGTAAGATTGTTGGAAACATTCAATAACATAGTGTTGTTGTGAAAAATTTCAGTAGTTTAATCTGAGTCAGTTCTCAAGTCTGAAACTCTGTTTCAGAACCTGATTTAAAAAAAAAAAAGGCTGAAAAACAGCTTCTGTCCCAGGACAGTAATTATACTGAATTCTATTGTACAGTGCAATATTAATGCAATATTGGGTTTTCAATTCAATTGTATAGAATGTAAATGATGTGTTTGTGTTTTATTTTTTATAGTTACAATAATGTACATTGGAGATGGCATTTAATTTCATTGTACGAGGTACAATGACAAGTAAATTAAACTAAACTATCCTTGGAATTGGGAAGCAAAAGCTCAAAGGGAAAATATTATAGACAGATATAGTAATTTTTCTGCTGACTTTTAGCATTATATGCAAATATTTTTATTTTTTTCTTTGGTAATTGTAATTGGTAATCTTTTATCTAGCTCCACTGCTTACTACTGTTCCAACAAAACTGAGTGATGCACAGGAGGAAGAGACCCATTTGACTGAGGTAAAGCATCAGCGTATGATTCTAAATTAAGAGCAATGCAGCATTAGAAGTTAAACACCAGTCATTATTAGGAATTGTTATTTTGGGGGGGCACTTATTCTGCCAAGCCGGCTTTTTAAAGTTTCCTTGTAATATGTGTACATTGTAAAGTGGCAGGTTGTTAAAAGCTGCTTATGGACTCAAATATTTATTTCTCTTTGGTAAGGAATCACAAGATGCTAATGCTAAATTTCTTTTTAGGAAGTGTTTGTTGAAAATCGCCAAGATGGAGTGTCCCGAAGATTCATTCCCCCAGCCAGGTATTATGTTCTCTGCTCTAATACATTTCTAATAAATGCCATTCTTTCAAACGCTGGAAATTTTGATCAAAATCTTATACTGACATGTACACACATACACTCAGCTGCTGATAAAAGCAAAAAAAACCCACCCTAAAACCTATTCTTAGCTAAAGCAAGAATTCTCCCTAGAAGTGAAAGCAAAATATACTTTAGTTCTTTCATCCTTTGAAAGGAAGCACAAATAGTCCTATGACTGCTTGTTTAACAATTTAAGGTTATGATAGCATTGACAAAAATGACTTGCAAGTGGTCTTTGCGCTTATGACCATTGCTGCATCCCTGTGGTCATGTGAGCAACCAGCATGTATTTATCATAGTTGCAGCATCTCCGGATTATGTGATTACAATTTGCAACCTTCCTGGAGGGCTTCCAACTAGCAAAGTCAACTGGATTTGCTTAATGAATACGACAATTTTTTTTATAAAATTGTAAAATCATTACGTGTGACTCAATAACTGAATTGATGTAGTGAAATCTGGTGCTGAGTTACGGGAAGGAGGAGTAAAATGAAATATCAGATCTTCAGTTGTTGTTATGCAGGAAGTGATGCAAAAGAGACCCTAATTTCTTCACAGCATTTATCAGATAGATATGCAGAATGTACTTTACTCTGGCAAGATTATGCCTTTTTATGAACCGCATTTTAAAAAATCTCCTTTGAACATTTACATGTTTTAATTCTTGATTTCCTACCCTGACAATTGCTTAGCAATAGAAGTTCTGGTCCCAATTGTTGTCATAAGTCAAGGACTATATATATTTCATTTTGAACTGGATTCTCTATTATAGAACAATTATTTTCAGAAGGAATTTTATAAATGTCTGAGAATTAGGGGAGAAGGTCCAACATTATGCCAGTAGATTCAGGAAGGCTAGTTTGTTTGGTTGGAAAAATTTTAAAAGCTATGTTCGCCCTCCACGGTAATGAGACGGAAATATCGCTCTATTATTTCTATCATAGGACTACTATAGGTCTGTCAAACTCACAGCCCATAGTCTGATACATCAGGTGTTTAGAAAAGGGGAAAAATATTGTGATATGTCACATGACAGTGCCATGATGATGCACGATGACACCCCTGGACTAATAAATTAATCTTTACCATTATTTTTTTCAGATCAAAACAACCATTCTGCAAAAGTTTTTTTATGTGACCATGGTTCTTGATAACTTGTATAAACTAGCTAATGTATATTCTAATGAAAAGGAATAGTTTTCTAAGAGGATTTTAAATTGAATCCAAGTGATTCTTGGATGCAATGGATTGAAACACAACTGTTATTTTTGAACTCTATTGTCTATTTCTAACAATTCAGACATTTTTTTGTTTTAGCTTAATAAGCCTGCAAATTGTAGATCTGTGTCAAATATAGTATATAGAGCAAAACCTATTTACTATTTAGAAATTGGAAATTGCTTGTAGAATAAAATGTATATTACCGTAATATGGTTTAATGTCAGAATTTTTGGTGAAAATGTATGAGAACAAAGCTTATAACAAAATCATGCTGCATTTTTCAGGATGATGTCAACAGAAAGTGCCAACAGTTTCACTCTGATTGGAGAGGCCTCTGATGGAGGAACCATGGAAAATCTCAGCAGAAGACTCAAAGCAAGTTGATCTCTATTCTTGAATGTACTATCAATGTTTAGAAAAGATTGTTTGGGAGAATAGAATGCAATACTTTTGAACCTTTTTTATCAAAACAAAGTCTAATGAATAGTAGTTTTCCTTGACAAAACTTTCTGCCTCATTTAACAAACGTAGAATTGTTTTCTCTTTCCTTTGCTAAAATGAGCTCTTCCATACAGGTCACTGGAGATCTGTTTGATATCATGTCTGGCCAAACAGATGTGGATCATCCTTTATGTGAAGAATGCACTGATACACTTCTGGACCAGTTAGACACGCAGCTTAATATCACAGAGAATGAATGCCAGAACTATAAGTGAGTAATAAATTTCTTTTTGACAGAATAAAGAAGCACAATTTTACCTTTGTTCACTAAAATATTTTTTACTGAAGAAAGTACCATATGCTTGTCTCTGACATGTATATACTCAAGCTGTGGCAATTCCATTTCTATTTTAAAATAGAACAAGTTACAGTTAATCCTTGACTTATAACCACAGTTGAGCCCAGAATTTATGTTGCTAAGTGAGAAATTTGTTAAGCGAATTTTGCCACATTTTGCAATTTTTCTTGCCACATTTTTTAAGTGAATCACTGCAGTTGTTAAATTAGTAACATGGTTGTTAAATGAATTTGGCTTTTCCATTGACTTTATTTGTCAGAAAGTCGCAAAAGATGATCACATGACTTCAAGACACTGGAACCATCATAAATATGAGTTAATTGAATGTAAATCACATGACTGTGGAGATGCTGCAACAGTCATAAGTGTGAAAAATATTCATAAGTCATTGTTGAATGGTCACTAAATAAACTGTTGTAAAGGATTACCTGGATATCTACACAGATTTGATATTGTGTAGATTTGTTACTGGCTGGGTTTTGAGGTGCATAATTGTGAAAGAAAGTGAAGGTAAAGGGTTTTATATGGTTCATTGCCATCCCATAAAATCACTGGGATTTTTTGTAGGAAATGCCTTGAAATCCTGGAGCAAATGACTGAAGATGACAAGGAGAAATTACAGTTGGAACTGAAAGAATTTGCTCTTGAGGAAGAGAGATTAATTGAAGAATTGGAGGAAGTAGAGCAAAAGCGCAAGGCCCTGACTGAAGATTTTGAGAAAGTCAAAACTGAGGCTGAGAGGCTGGATCAGGAGGAAGCTGAGTGAGTGTGAAATCTTTCTACTGTGTTTCCCAGTGGCAGTGGCAGAGCAGCTGCAGATGAGGCAGAGGCAGCCAAGGCATGTTGTGCGAGTGCTGAAGGCATGACTTTTTGGCCAGCTCGTGCACACCCCCAGAATGGGTGGCACGACTGAAAGGAAGAAGCTGGCAAAGGTGTTGTTTGTGCAGCAGACTCACCAGCAGTTCCTTACTGGGCGGTTCTTCCAACTCGGGATGAAAGGAGGTGGAGACTTGGAGCTTCTTTTCTGATGCCAATACGGTAAGCCGTTCCTACCACTGCCTATTGGCCAGGCTGAAAAACAACATAGCCTGGTGCCACTGTCCTCCAGCAGCAGCAGGTTCAGCAGGCAGAGGCTGGGACGTGCCATGACACTTGGCCTGTTGCAGCCATGGACATGCAAACAGTTGGACAGAGAGTGGGGGCAGGCGGTAGCAGTGCTCCCACTCCCATCGGCCCCTGAGCTTGCTGCCTCCTGTATTGGAAAAACTAAGAAAATAAGCTCGAGTACTTACTTTGAAGGTCAAAAAAGTATAAGACCGGGTCTTCTTTTCAGGGAAACATACTACTAACAATACTCCCAGCTATGTAATTTTTTGGCTAGATACTTCGTTGGAGTTCATACCCAAATTTTCATGTTTATTGATGACTATTTTCCCCCATTTTTTTTCTTTATGCCTGTACTAAACATCTCCCCTCTTTTTTATGCTACTTTCCCAGGTATTGCTTACCGCATCTCTCCTACACTTCATTTTCTCCTTATCCTTGACAGACTTTTTATTGGCTCTTGTGTTTTTCTCATTTCCTTTAATAACCTACCTGTGGCTCACCTACTCTATTAGCCTGAGTACTTGATAGGAAAGTCCAGAGAAATTAAATATGGTTTCATAAGTCAGATAGAAAACTCCAGTGTACTGTTTTCATGCCATCTGTCTAGTACTAGAGAGGAACTATCTTTTTTACTCAAATTAATTCTTATGAAATTAATTTGTAATTGTTCTGAACATTTTTGAGGCCTATCCTTTTCTGCCTCTTAAGAAAACAAATTTGTTCTTTTGGATCTGGCACTATTCTACATGTTGAATCCTTAATGGTTTTAGGGAGGTCCTCAAAAGAACTAATCTTATTCTCGATGTTTCCTGGAGGTATCAAAAGGAATACAGTGAATTCAAGCGGCAGCAACTAGAATTGGATGATGAACTGAAAAGTGTTGATAATCAAATGCGTTATGCCCAAATGCAGCTGGACAAGTTAAAGAAAACCAACGTATTTAATGCTACTTTCCATATCTGGTAAGAAAAGAGATTTGGATAGACTGGGATGTGAGTTATTAGAAATATAGTAGAGTACCAACACTTGAATCTGGATGTCATTTAAGCTCTGCAAAGTTAAGGAATTCAGAAGACTCTGGACAGCATTAGAGCGAGTATAATAGTTTCAGTTTTAGTTTGCTGCAGAAGTCTAACTGAATACTGTTTTCAGTTTATACTTTACAGTGTTCACTCATGGTTGAATTCTTACTTTCCACTTTTTAAGAAGCAATCCTTCTTTGAGAGCATTGGGTCGCTCACCATGAATAAATAAACTCTTTAATCAATATATTATTCCCCTTTTGGAGGGTACTATCTAGTATTTTTTAATGATAACTAATTAGTACCGGTAATATTTCACACAGGGTCCTGTCTGAGATCCTTCTTATTTTAAAGTTTTATATTCTTTTGCCAAACTGATTAGGGTTAATAGAGTTGAGTTTTAAATAATCTGGGCAATAACTGACTAACTTCCTGTGCTGCAGACAGATTTTCATAAAAGCTATGGATCTTATTGTTTATGTTTGGAAAATTATTTAAATTTTGGATGTGTCCAAAAACTGCTTCAAAAAGACTTGTTTGTACTGCATGTAACATTTTTCTGTTTCCCTCAAAAGCTAGCTGATTAGATTTCTTCTTGCATAGGCATAGCGGGCAGTTTGGCACAATAAACAACTTTCGTCTAGGCCGCCTCCCAAGTGTCCCTGTGGAATGGAATGAGATCAATGCAGCCTGGGGGCAGACTGTTCTGCTTCTCCATGCCCTTGCCAACAAGATGGGCCTGATCTTTCAAAGGTAGATACAGAGACAACAAGCCACCCCTCCCTTTGCCAGCCATAGGAGTGGCAAGATTAATTAACTTGTTTGTTGGATTAGAAGCCTATGCAATACTTTTCAGTCAAATTATTCTTAAGTGGCTGTTTCTTGCAGATATCGTCTTATTCCATATGGAAATCACTCTTATTTAGAGTCTCTTACTGACAAATCTAAGGTAAGAGATTTCCTCACATTTTAGTTTCCAAAAATCCCTTTCATAAACCTGCATTTTGGATTTCTAGAGTACTGTATCTGTTTGTAGTTAGAGGACTAGTCAGTTCAGAACAAGCCTCTAGGACACTTGGTGAAGAACATTTTGAGCAATTCTGCATAAGCTGAATTCTAAAAAAATAATAATAATTCTAGGTTGCCCAAAGTTTTTAAGCATAGTTTGGCTATTTTCCACTTTAAACATGTCGAAATATCTTGGTTTCTGAGTATTTGTTGATGGGAAATGGGATGCTAACATAATATGATACAGAATGATTTAGCTGATAACATTTTTAGGCTAATGAAATATTCATGCATGATAAAATATTTAGATGAAGATAATTGAATTTATATTTTGGAAATACCAATACAGCATTGTGTTTATGCAGTGTAACTAAATATAATAAACATACAAGCTAAATGTAAACACTGTACTACATATGTATTTAGGGATGTGTTTGAATATTATTTTCTTATGATTGTACTATTTAATTTGATATTTTATATAATCATCTTAAATGTGGTACTGGATGTTTGGAACATCAGCATGAGTAAGTGCTTTTTGGTGGCATCTCTCTACACTTTTTTTTACCCTGGAGTAAAATATATATATATCTGTCAGGTAGAGTCTACCTTATAAATAAATAAATAAATATATATATAAATAAAAAGGTAGACTCTACCTGACAGATCTGTATCTTCTAGATGGAGAGTGGTCATTTATTCTCCTTGTGCTGAACTATAGTAGGATGAAAAATTTGAATAATCATAGTTCTCCATCTCAGATCAAAAGAATATTTTCTGTAGGACTTATTTTCTTATAGTTCATGTACAAAGTGATTGAAAAATCATTGAAAAACCTGAATCCCTCAGGGTAACAGATACTGTTATTTATTTGTATTTTAAAATGTCCTAGATAATAATTGAAAAAGAAGCTGGATTTTAAGAGAAATAGGAATAGTTCTCTATTGGAGTAAAACAGATTTTATTTTCTTGTTTCCTGTAGCCTAGACTTGGTTTAGAAGAGCAGTCATAAAAACAAAGATGATTCATGTCCTAAGTTACAATGAATGCTCTTTATTGAGTAAAAAGGCTAAGCAGCTTCATTACTAATATTGTAGAACTGTAGGACAATTCCTTGTGTTTCTAATATTTACATTTATGTCTTCAAGGAGCTACCTCTTTACTGTTCAGGAGGCTTACGATTTTTCTGGGACAATAAATTTGACCATGCAATGGTGGCATTTCTAGATTGTGTACAACAGTTCAAAGAGGAAGTAGAAAAGGGTGAGACTCGTTTCTGTTTACCTTACAGGTAAATGTCAATGGTGCAGAAAGTAGGTTCCTTTTCTTACAAATTTTTTAACTCTGTCTAGTTAATCTAAATTAAGTATCTCTTGCTAAACTATTATATAATTGAATTAAATGCCATTAATTTCAAGGTATCTCATGTATACCAGAAGCTTTGCTTTTTTATTTTAATGCAATATAATAACAGCTAGATTACTGTGGTTCTTCAAAGTACTGATGATAAACTACCACATTTAATGGTCTTGATATTTTTTTAGTTGACTCTGCTTTGTTATTAGGTTGCTGAAAATATTGTGTCAAATAAAAAAACTGAGGTACTCTCTCAGCAAGAGCTTTAACATAAAACTTATGTCTAAAGATTAATAAAACAGGCATTACAAAAGCAAATGGGATTTATTAAAAGATAATGTAGTACTAATCTGAGACCAAATGCCAGGATTTTCAGTGCCTAATAAGATCTGTTTTTCCAATACAGAATGGATGTGGAAAAGGGCAAGATTGAAGATACAGGTGGAAATGGTGGTTCCTACTCCATTAAAACCCAATTTAACTCAGAGGAACAGTGGACAAAAGCACTCAAGTTCATGCTGACAAATCTGAAATGGGGCCTAGCTTGGGTTTCTTCGCAATTCTATAATAAATGACAATTATGAAGGAGAAAAAATTCAGCATGACACAATGATGCCAAAAGTAGGACTTGGGACTGTGACAGCCATACATTATTTTAAAAGAAGAAAAATCTGCAAGCTTAATATTTCATTATAAAATGGAATGAAGCAAAAAGCTTCATGCCATAATTTAGATAACATGTAGAAAAGTATACAACTGATAGGAAAAGAATTATGTATTTTCTCCAATAGGACAGGAAAAGGAGAAAATATTAATGATAGAAGCTCTGCTGAGTTAGGAGGTTATTGCAGCTTCATCATTGCACTAAACTAGAAATACAAAATAAATACACTGTTTTTTTTCAGAACAGTTTATCAGTTCTATAGAGAGGAACACATTAATGTATTTTTTGTCAGATAAATTTATTTGTTTATGCTAAAGCTTCTGCTTTTACATGTAGTATTTATCTCCATAATCCATACATCTAATATTTGTCTTAAGCTGCTATAATTTTTTGTGTTGTAATGGTTATGCAAGACTGCTGTAAATGGTTTTGATGCCCTAGTCATGGACAAGATACCTTTCTTTAAATCTTCTTCCCCCTTAAAAGATTAAGAAAGCAAAATCTGTGTGATGTCCATTAAACTATTGAAGTGTATGAGGATGTGCAGTGCCTTTTTAGTAGTTATCTGCTTACAAATTCCATGCCTATGTTAAATACTACAGTACATTTCTTGATAAGTAGGCTCTTCAGCTTCAAAAATGAAGGCTTTCTAACAACCATCCACTGTACTGCCGAGTCCTAGACTGTGCTTCAGAATTGCATAGACTGCCTCAGTAATGCTCTGGAGACTAATGCCTGTGGTGCTATTGAGGTATTCCACAACCTTTCAAAAGAAAGAGAGAAAAAAGCTTTAGGCTGATACGCTATATCATATAGAACTAGGGTTCTTATGGATAGCAAGCCACATGTAGGAGAAAACAAAATCTCTTGATTTAGTACATGAATGGACTAAATGATAAGCTGTATGTACCTGATTCCAGTCTTCATGGTTTAGCAGGAAAGAACTTGCACCAATTACTCCTACAGCTAGTAGCATGAGGTCTTCCTTTACAGATACAAATTTGGCTCTATGAAATTGAAATGACAAAATGAAAAAAGACAATATTCCAGCAATAGTAATAATGATGTACATTTGAAAGTACAAGCCTATTTATAGCAAACCAATATGATTAAATAGTTTAGTATTTTTCAAGCATTTCTCTGTTATATTCACTGGTCTTGAATTAAAAGATATGTTTTGAAGACTTACGCTTAGATGGCTAGAATGCCTATAACATCATTAAAATATTTAAATAGCACATTTCTCACAAATCCATTGTATTCAGTGGAGCCCACACTTTGGTAAATAGGTACTGTTTACATGCCAAAAGAAGGAGCTAATCTTCATCAAAACAACATATTCTGAGATGGGGATTTCCGCATTAAGATTGAGTATCCATACAATAAAACATTTTTATTTGCATTTCTGCTGCTACATTGAATATATTAGGCAACAGTACTGGGTCGTGCTGTATTTTGCTGCCAAGTAACAACGCAAAGGTGAATTTAATGTTTTCATCTCTCAAAAAATAAACATTAATAAGATCCAATGCTGTGTATAATTGTATAGTAAAATGAAAACCCTATTAGCATAGGAAAAATATATTTTTTCAATTTCAGTATATTGTGCTAAAGTATTGGAAATGTAACATTTGGGAACCAAAAGATTTCTTAAGAAAACATACAAATTTGTGAAATCAATGAAACATTCTTGTAATTTAAAAAAACAAATTCTAAAAAGTTACTTGAAATGTTAAAAGGCAAGTAAAAGGGTCCAAAATGAAAGAGTTGCTATCTAATAGTTCACTAATGCAGGGCCGCCAACCTTTTGGACGTGAGGGGCCAGTTTTATGGAGAGAGATTTTTCTGCAGATTGGAAGGGACATGGTTTCACATGCTGCCTGCAACCCATGGATGGGGCTTCGCTTTTTTGCACAGCCTCATTTTCAATTCTGCAGCTTTAATTTTAGGCAACAATAGTTCATCCCAGTGGTCTCTAAAACAAACTAATTCTAATTATGTCTTCCCGATAACTCCTCCAATTCATATAACAGTAACTTATAGAGGGGATATCTAGGTATATTTAAGATTCAAAACTATCCCATCCAAGTAAAAGATTGCCTTAAGCTGAGAATTGCCCATATTTAAATGTTCTGCAGAAGGAAAGATTAATATGACCCAAAGAAAAATCAGAACCGTCTTGACACACTGAAGCTAGATTCTATCAGAAGAGCATTGTTTACAAACATCTGTTAAAATCTGCTAGTGGAAAACTAACCCAGATTTTCTTGGTCTATAAAGTTCTTTCTCTATTTGTGCTACTTCAGTATGCACAACTCCAAGTTTTGACTTCCCTTTTTGGCACACATTTATTGCTAGCTTGCTTCTTTCAGAACTTACAGTTGAAGTTCACTTGGTGAGGAGCTTTCTATTGAAGACTTCAACAAGGTATCATAAATATTGTTCCGCAACAGATATGATAAACTCAATAAACGTTTGCACATTTCATGCAGCTCTTTTGTGGGAAGTAGATAGCCATTGTATCCTAGTATTGGGGGAGGAGAGAGAAAGCCCAAGAATTAGATGCTGCAGGAAAGAGAGTGGGTTTCTATAACATGTGATAATCTCTCTCCTTGATCTTACTATCTGAGCCATAAATACATTTAGTTTCCCCTCCTCTCGTTTTTGTCTGTTTCAATATATGCCACTTCATGTCTAAGGCAGGATAAGAAGTCACCTTTTCCTGATTTCTAGCCTTGTGCCTTAACTACTACACCAAATTGGCTCTCATAAGAACCTATAAAACTTCACTATATCTGTAATATCTGTGATGAAGATTGAGAATAATCACTGATCCACAACCCATTTTATTGAAACCTTTTGCTTTCTAACCACCAGAAGCAACAACAAAACTCTCCCGCAAAAAAATAAGGAAATAATATGATTCTTAAGAACAACAGTGATATGTCACTGTAGTTCATTGGTAACAAAAAGAAAATATATGTGGCCTTTCCTAGATGTTCTGTAAATCATCAGTTTATCCTACTGCTCTAGGATGTAACTTGGAGAGTTATTTTTTTAAGAGCAGCAAAAATTGGTTAAGTGCTGCCACCTGCTGTAGAGCCTTAGAAATAAAGAGATTCCAAATATAAGGAGCTGCTCAGCTACTGATAAGAGGGATAGACAAATCAGAATCAATGCCAATTTTTTACTAGCAGGGCAAAGCTGTTTCATAGACCACAGTATATGTCTCCTGGGTTTACCTAAAACTTCTAGGAGAACTTCAACATAAGCAAGTGGAACTGGAACATTGACTTGAAAATGCAGAGTCTTCAAAATAGCTAGTTCTGATTCTAATAATTCTTCTGTAGTGTACGAGAAACCCAAAGACTTCAAAAACTTCAGAACCATTTTGTTATTAACAATCTGTGTAAAAGAAATAAGAGCATTACATCCAAAATGCCACATTTGCTTTGCCATAGTATACTATGTTTTGTTGGAATGGGTTGTGTTGCATATGTTGCTGTTTTTAAATCAACATGAATCATAATATTAAAAAGCTGCCCAATTAATTAACATTTTGTTTCTACTACTAATAGTTTACATTTATATATCAAACTTCTTAACCACCCCATCTCCGTCATAGTTGATAGTTAATCATTGTGAAAGCCAACTTCATATACAGTCACATATCTCCTTCAGTACTAAAACCATTAACCCAAGCTATTAATGAAGACACCGTTGCTTAGCATCTATAACATCTATTTCATTTTCTGATCAGATTGTTTAGTGAGAAACAATTATATTTTTCTCAATTCCACACATGTATTTAACAATCCTTTTTCTGTCATTGAGAAAGTCCACAAGGTGGCTCAGAAATTTTTTTGAATGGAAGTTATATAATACTACTGTATATTGCCCAAGGCAAATCTTGAATCTCCTTACTTTGTAATGGAAAGAAAACTTGCTGGCAAGCTGAATGCAAGAAACTAAACGCAGGATATATGTGTCCTCCATTTGTGCTTTCAGTGAGGCCCAACTGCTGCCTTCTTCCTTTCCTAGAGTCAAATTAGAGAACTCTTCTAAAAGTTTGAGTATATACCTAAAAATACAAAAGCACTGATAATGCATCTAAAGAAAAGAGCAGGTACTTACTTGAAACTTCCTTTATAGTTTACAGAAACAAATATCAAAACCATGTAACTACACTGATTTTATGGAGTTAAAGCTATTCCAAAGAGTCATGAATCAATGTATGAAACAAGTAGAATAAACTCTAGGACCTTCACCAGCCCCCCCACTCACAAAGAATCAAATTGTTCATTAGGCTTTTCCTGGGTTTTCAAACCACTTAGTGCAGTATATTCACAAGTACCGTGTTTCTCATATAATAAGGCTGGGTCTTATTTTTTTTTGAGCCCCCCTAAAATGGCTAGGCCGTCTTTTGGGGGGTGACTTAATTCCCCCCCCCCCTTGCATCTTCGGGCGGGCAGGCAGCGATGGCTTGGATGTTGATCTCGGCGTTGGTGGGGCACTTCATATTGGGGTCAGCGCAGGCAGCACCATATCTGGGTGTACAACAAAAGTACTTCCTAAAGGCAAGCCCCCCCCACCATTCCTCCCCATTTTGCATGTTTTAATATAGGCCTTAATTTGGGGGGAGGGGCTTAATTTCATTTCATGCCTATAAAACATGCTGAGACTTCCTATTGGGGGAGGCCATATTGTTGGAGAAACAGGGTAGATATTAACAGGGATAACTAAAGTGACACAAAAATGCAATTAAAATACTCGAGACTTAGTCTCAGGCAAACTTTTATAAAAACAACAGATGGGAAAGAAACATGCAAGGAAAGAAAAACAACCCTTGTAATCTAAATTGTTGAGATTATATTTGTAGAGTGAATGCATTTGTAGTGGTGTCCACAAACTCCTC